CTCCTTCTCCTTCCTCTTCTTCTTCTTCTTCTTCTTTCCTTTTTGGTTTTTTGAGACAGGGTTTCTCTGTGTAGCCCTGGCTGTCCTGGAACTCACTCTGTAGACCAGGCCGGCCTTGAACTCATAGAGATTTTCCTGTCTCTGCCTCCTAGGTACTGAGATTAAAGGCATACACTGCCACTACCACCACCTGGCTCCACAGCAACTTTTATAAGGAAACATTTAATTGTGGCTGGCTTACAGTTCATAGGTTTAGTCCATTTCCGTCATGTTGGCATGCAAGCAGACATGGTTCTGGAGAGGGAGCTGAGAGTTCTACATCTGGATTGGCAGAGAGCAGGAAGCTAGTGAGAGACTGGGCCTGGCTTAAGCGCCTAAGACCTCAAAGCCTGCCCCCAGTGACACACTTCTTCCAACAAGACCACACTTACTCCCAAAAGGCCATACCTCCTAATAGTTCCACTTTCCTTGGGCTTATGGGGACCATTTTCATTCAGACCACCCCAGCATGGTTTACAAAACATAATGAGGGGGTCCTGGAGTGATGGCTCAAGAGGTTAAGAGCACTGGCTGCTCTTCTGGAGGTTCTGAGTTCTATTCCCAGCAACCATATGGTGGTTCACAACCATCTATAATGAGATCTGGTACCCCCGTCTGGGGAGTAGGCATACATGCAGGCAGAATACTGTATATGTAAAATATAATATAATATAATATAATATAATATAATATAATATAATATAATATAATATAATATAATATAATATAATATAATATAATATAATATATATTAGTTAATCTTTAAGGGGGGGAAAAGCATAATGAGGTCTGGAGAGATGGCTCGGCACTTAAGAGTACTTGCTGCTCTCCAGAAGACCTGAGTTCAATTCCCAGCACTCATGTTAAATGGCTCATACCTGCCTGTCACTCCAGGGCCTCAGGCCTCTGTAAGCACTGCACATATCACTCCCACATATACATGTGCACATAATCAAAAGTAAATCTTTTTTTAGAGTGAAATGATATTCCATTGAGCACTTAGTACACTTCTGTGTTTCAGACAGTTCATCAGTTTAAGATTAGGCATTGAAGGGATACATTTCCTTTTCTGATTATTACTGTCAGAATAAAAGACCTTTTGATG